AATAATGTTAATATACATAAGTAATACATAGATGTATATATATATATATATATATATATATAATATATAATATATATTTATTTATATATAAGTAAATAAATATATATTATATATAATTTAATATAACTAAATATATATAATTAGGTATATAAGTATATTTATTATACATAATTAAATATATTTATATTTATACATAAACAGCAGATACAACATACAGAAGAAGTAGCAGCAATAATATACTATAGACCCTCTTGCTGCTGCTGCTGCTCCTGTTGTTGCTGCTGCTGCCGTGGCTGCTGGGGCTGCTGCTGCTACCGTCGCTGCTGCACGGCAGCGGCCTGCCTACACACCCAATATTTTCATTTTGCCGCCTGTGCCTGCTGCAGCAGCAGCTGCTGCTGCTGCTGTTGCTGCTGCTGCTGTTGCTGTTGCAGCTCCCTCAGCTGTTTCTGAAGCTGTGCTCTCAGCTGTTGCTGCTGCTGCCGCACCTGTTGCTGCTGCTGCAGCAGCTGTTGCCCGAGTTGCTGCTGCTGCTGCTGCTGAGCTGAAGAGAAGAAGCGACCATGAGTAAATACAACAGCAGCAAAACTGCTTACACCCTGATGCAGCAGCTGCAGCGGCACCAGCAGCAAATCAAGCAGCTGCAGCTGCAGCAGCCGCAGCAGCAAGAATCCTACCGACAGAAGCCGCGCAGGAACATGTACTTGAGACCATACCACCTACAGCAGCAGCAGCAACAGCAGCAAAAGCCCCACACATGCATGCGCCTTCCCTTCGCTACCCGCAGCAAAAGAAGCAGCAGCAGCAGAAGCAAAAGCAGTAGCAGCAGCATGCTCGGGACACCCCACAATGCAGCAGCAGAAAAATGCCCCCAACGACACAAACGGGTAGAAGCAGCAGTAGCACCAGCAGCAGGGACAGCACGAGCAGCAGCAGCTTACCTTCCAACCAATGGCGCATGCAAGTGCCATAACGCATGCCTTTACGAGCTGCAGCATCAGCAGCAGCATAACATGCGCCTTAGGAATATTCCTCCTCCTCCTTGTTGTTGCTGCATTAGCTACTGCTGTTGCTGCTGTTGGGGCAGCAGCAACGCCACCCACGACCTGTACAGGGGGCCCCCCTGGGAGGCTGCACTGGGGCGGCTCTGCTGCTCCATATCCGGTTGCCGCTGCAGCAGCAGCAGGTGCTGCTGTTGCTGCTGCTGTTGCTGCTGCTGCAGAAGCCTCGCCACCGGAGGAGAGCCTCCTACGTAGGAGCCCGTTGTGTTCCCCCCATGTCATCCTCTATAGAGTTAGCGCAGTAGCAGCAGCAGCAGATGCAACAGCAACAGCAGCAGCAAACAAGACTGCGGGGTAGGGTTAAAAGACAAATGTTAGCAAGAGAGCCCTTCAAGTAATACACAGCAGGCTCTTATGTTGCTGCTACGTTGCAGCTGCGGCTGCTGCTATTGCTACTGCTACTGTTGCTGTTGCTGCTGCTGCTAGGGAGGAGGGCTGTTGTGGGGAAGCAGCAGCAGCAGCAGTCCTGGTCATGAGAGCAAATCTAAGGATTCTGTGCAGCTGCTGCTGCTGTTGCAGACAAAGAATGCAGCAAATGAGGTGTCTGTACACCTCAGAGCCGCGCCTTGCGGCCCATTTGCTGCAGCAGCAGCAGCAACAGCAGCAACAAAACAAGAGGATAGAATGCTTATTATTTATTGCTCTTCTAATGTTGCTGCTGTAAATAGTATAATTAAAGCCTGTTGTCTACGTCAACAGGCTGCCTTGCTGTTGCTGCTACTGCTGCTGCAGTTGCTACTGCTGCTGCTGCTGCTACTGCTCGGGCTGCTGCTGCTCCTGCTGCTGCTCCTGCTGCTTCTGCTGCGTGCGGCAGCCGCTGCCGCACGCTGCGGCAGCAGCAACAGCAGTGATGCAATGTCAATCTATCTTGCTGCTGCTGCCGCTATTTATTTTATTTTATAAATAAAAGTAATATTTTTATTTATTTTTATTTTTAATGCAAGAAGAAAATAAAACAAACTAGAGGAACCTATAGGCCGATCCCGCTCCCGCTGCTGCTGCTGCTGCTGCTGCTGCTCCTACTGCTGCTGCTGCTGCTGCTCCTACTGCTGCGGCTGCTATCGTGTTTATTGCTACTCTGCAGCTGCTGTTCCTGTTGCTGCTCATAGACTTTCCTGCTGCTGCTGCCACTGCTGCTGCTGCTGCTGGTTTTGTAGCTCATAATAATGATTTTTGCGTTGTTGATGAACAGACACAGCAACAACTCGGATGTCTGCTGCTGCTGCTGCTACTGCTGCTGCTGCTACTGCTGCTGCGCTGCTACTGGGCTGCTGCAAGGCTACTGCTGCTGCTACTGCAGTGCAGGAAGCCAGAGCAGCAGCAGCTGCTACTGCTGTTGCTGCTGCTTTAGAAGCGAAGTAGCTCTAAGAATATTAGCAAAAGATACGTTGCGGTGTCGTCCCTATGCGTGGGAGGGTCTTGGGGTTTAGGGTTTAGGGTTTAGTAGTCGCCTTCGGGGTTTTAGCATAGAAGGCTGCTCTTGCGCCGACGTGATTTAGGGTTTAGGATGTACTGTGTAGACGCGCAGCAGCGGCAGCGGCAGCGGCAGCAGCGGCTGAGGACTGGCAGCAAAGCTGGAGCAGCAGCAGCAGAGACAGCAGCAGCAGCAGCAGCAGCAAATAATTGGCTTGGAGATATCTAAGGGATAGATTACCTCCAAACACTAAACCATAGAACGATGGCGTAGTGCGACCTGTAGCAGACGGAGCCAAGCAGCAGCAGAGACAGCAGCAGCAGCAGCAGCAGCAGCAAGAGCAAAGAGAAATTAAAACCAGGGGGATACGGAAACAGACACACACCGAGCAGCAACAGCAACAGCAGCAGCAAACATGCTGACAGCAAAGGAGCAGCAGGAGGAGCAGCTAAGGGAGCTGCAGCGGCGCTACCAGGCAATAGGTGCTCTTATTTGCTGCAGTCTGCTTTATTTAATTATCTCCTTTAAATAAGAGGAGACACATAAATTAAATTAAATAAAGGGGGTCAGGTGCCTGTCTCCTTTTCTCCTTTTATTAATTATATGTCTCCTTTATTGTCTGTCTCCTCTACTTAATTAGCCGTCTCCTTTATTTTGCTGCTGTTGTTGTATTTGCCGTTGTTGCTGCTACTGCCAAGAGCGATCACTGAGTCGTTAACAGCTCGACTGTTACTGGAGCAGCAGCTGCTACAGCAACAGCTGCTGCAGCAACAACTGCTGCTGCCGATGGCCTCTCTACTGCTACAGCTGGTGCTGCTACTAGATCTGCTGCTGCTGCCACTCGTCTACTCGTATTGCTGCTATTTCTGATGATGTTGCTACTCCTCATCCTACCGCTGCTGCCGCAACTGCTGCTGTTGCTGCTGCTGTTGCTGCAGAAGCTGAGCATCAGGCAACAGCGGAGGCAACACAGCGTACACTACAATCTAATCAGCATACTTTGCTGCAGCTACGAGCAGAGAATAATTATTTGCTGCAGCACTTAAAAGAGCTTAAAGCACAATCACTTACGTCCAGTGGTCAGCATCTTGAAAGGAAGGTAGGCTGTTAATGCAGCAACAGCAGCAGCAACAACACCAGCAGCAGTAAGAGAAGAAGAAAGAGCAGTAGCAACAGTGGAAGTTGCAGCGGTAGCAGAAAACATAAAGCAGGACACGTGGTAGCAGTCTACTAGCAGCAGTAGCTGCTGCTGCTGCTGTCTTTGTCGCTAGGCAGAAAGAAACAGACCTCAGAAGGTGCCTTCTTGCACCTGCTGCTGTTGCTGTTGCTGTTTCTGTTGCTGTTGCTGCTGCTGCTGTTACCGTTGCTGCTGTTGTTTGTTATGGATAGAGCGAGGAGATAGCGCGATTAAGAACACAATTGGATAGACAAAAAAACAAAAATGCAGTTCTTAAACAACGACTAGAACAACTACAAGATAAACTAAAGGGTAAATAAACTCAAGGGTTTAGGGTTTAGTGTTTAGGGTTTAGGATGCAAGATATAAGGGTTAGGGTTTCGGGTTTACGATTTGCGATGTAAGGTTAAAGGTTTTGGATTTAGGATATAGGGGTTGGCTTTTAGGGTTTAGGGTCTAGGGTCTAGGGTTTGTGGTTTAGAATTGGAGTTGGCCTCTGCCAAACCCTGCACGGAAGATTCACCAGAAATTCGCTCCATGCGCATTATTGAAGGCCGACTGGATCAGGCAAGCAGCAGCAGCAGCAGCAAGGACAGCAGCAAGGGCAGCAGCAGCAATAGCAGCAGGCGTATGATGTTGCTGTTTTCGCGCGGCCCGTTGTCTGTCTGTCATCTCCATCATCCTTTTAACCCAGCCTCTTCTGCTGCTGCTTCTACTACAACTATTCCTTTTGCTGTTGCTGCTGTTGTTGCTGCTGCTGCTGTCGCTGCTGCTGCTGCAGGCATTAATAGAGCTAAACGAGGCCAATGCCGTAAGAGCGACTTACGAGCAAATAGCAAATCGTTTAAAGAAAGAAAGGATTGGCCTTCATAAACACTTAGAAGCTATCGAGGCTAACCTCAAGGTACCCTGCTGCTGCTGCTGCTGCTGGTGGTTCTTCTGCTGCTGCTGGTGCTTCTGCTGGTGCTGGTGCTGTTACTGGCGGTTGTCTACTTGTTGACTAGAAGCACCGGCAGCAGTCTTAGAATGCTACTGTAGAAGCCAAGCTGCTGGTACTTGTTTACGGGCTAGCTAGCTGCTAGCTAGCTAGATATATAGATAGCTAGCCAACTGGCTAGATAGCTAGCTAGATAGCTAGCTAACAAAGATGTAGCGCTGTTTAACTGCTGCAGGAGAAGCGGCAAGAACATGAAGAGCTGCTGGGAGTTTGCCACGATGCTGCGCATGCAAATGAATTGGCACAGGTTAGACATTGCAGCAGCAGCTGCTGATGCGGTTGCTGCAGCAGTAGCTGCTACTGCTTCTGCTGCAAGAAGAAGAAGAGAAGCAGCTGTTTGATGCTGCGTGCTTCCTCGCCCACCTGCACAGAAGCCAGAAGCCAGCCCTACCGCTTTGGGGTTTAGGGTGTGGTGGCAACGAACTAGGGTTTAGGGTTTAGGGTTTAGGGTTTGTGACAGGCGGAACTTCATCGTTTAACTAAAACACTCGATGAAGATCGGCAAAAGAGAGGGGCGGAAGTTAGAGAAAAGCAAACTGTCATACGCCAGTGGTTCCAGACTGAAAAAAAGTGCACAAACCCTAAACCCTAGATCCTAAACATTAAACCCTAGGCCCTAAACCTTAAACCCTAAACTCCAATCAATTCATCAGAAGTGCCCATGAAACGTGTTTTGTCTTGTTGCATAATTCCCCGAAAGACAAGCGTTTGTTGGCTATATCCTGAGCCTCGCCTTCGAGGGTTTAGGGTTTAGCGTTTAGGGTTTGCGGCTGGAATGATATAGGATGAGGGAAGCTGCTGCTCTTCAAGAGGCTGAAGCACGAGCAGGTAGGAGATAACTATCTACCCTTCTTCTCAGCTAGCTAGCTAGCTAGTTAGTTGGGCATGGCAGGTGGCGTATTTGTTGGGGGGTAGGGGGGAAACAACATCATCAGTATCAGTAATAGAATCGTGTCTGCCTGCTACTGCAGCAGCAGCAGCAGGCAGGCACGATTCTCTGTGGTTTCCGCTTCCCCTGACAACTGTGTGAGTGTCTAAGTGTGCGTGTGTTCCGTTGTTGCTGTTGTCTCTACTACAGCAGCCGAAGCAGCAGCAGCAGAAGCAGCAGCAGCAGAAGCGAATGCAAATGCAGGAGGGGATAATCTAGGAGAAGAAGAAGAAGCAATGGAGATGAGTGTCTTGCTGCTTAAAGAAGTCTCTGGTGTATCAGATCCTAATGAAGTTATACAAGCTTTTCTCAATCAAAATAAAACACACGAACAACTATTGGCGGCCGCAAAAAAGGTGAACCCTAAACCCTACACCCTAAACACTAAAAATTTAAAAAGTTAAAAACTTTTGAACAAGAACCCTAAAACCCCTAAAAACCCTAGAAACCCTGAAACTCCTAACTGCTTCTGCATGCTGCGTTCCTGTTGCTGCGGATTGCTTGTGCTTTTGCTGCTGCTACTGCTGTTACTGCTGCAGCATCAAACCCAACTACAGGAGCTGCAAGAGAAGAAGCGCATTTATACCCAGATGGTGAGACGCACTTCAGTGCACCCTATACCGTAAACCCGAAACCCTGCAGAGGGTGTGCATCGGCGTGCTGCAGCAGCAGCAGGTGCTGCTCCCTCTGCTGCTGCTGCTGCCATGTGTTGCTGTTGCTGTTGGCAGGTGCTTAGATTGATTGTGCTGCAGCCCCTTTTGTTTGATCTTGCTGCTGCCAGTGTCTTTGCTGCTGCCTGTTGGAGAACGGATACTTGTTGCATACATTGCCTGTCATGTGCTGTTGGTGGTGTTCTGTTGCTGCTGTTGTTATTGCTGCTATGCTGCTGCTGCTGCAGCTGGAGGAGAGGCGGTTTGCGTCTGTCTGCTCTGAGGTGGCAAGAGGAGGCCTCCCCTCAGAAGAAGCAGAAGCTCAAGCTGCTGCAACAATGCACCAGCTGCAGCAGCAACAGCAGAAGCACCAGCAAATGCAGCAGTTGCTGTCGGAGCTGCAGGCAGGTGTTGGCTTCCTCACAAGGAAGCTGGCTGCTGCAAAAGAAGAAGTGAGATGTTGCTGTTGGTCTTGTTGCTTGTTGTTTATACTGCTGTTATTGTTGTTACTGTTGTTGCTGTTGGGGCTGCTGTTGTTGCTGTTGCTGTTGTTGCTTCTGCTGCTGTCATTGCTGTTGCTCCTCCCGCATATGCTGGGAGCAGCAAAACTTGTTGCTTTTATCATTGTTGTTGCTGCTGTTGTTGCTGCTGCTGCAGCTTCCTTTTTTACCTTCGCTGCCAGCTGAAGCATCTCTTAGTGATATATTTTCCTACTGCTACGATGCCACGACGGCCCTTGTAGAAGCAGCAGCAAACGTACGCAGCAGCAGCAGCAGCAACAGCAGCAGCAACACACGAGCGGCAGCAGCACTCCTGCAATGTAGAGCACGTGCACTGCAAAAATCTGATTTTACCATTTGTTGCGCTTTTGCAGATTCCTAAAGAAACACCAGCAAAAGCAGCAGAAGCAGCAGAACCAGCAGCAGAAGCAGCAGACCCAGCAACACCAGGAGAGGCACATTCCGTGCAAGGTGACAAGGAAGACCAGCAGCAGGAGCAGCACGACGAAGAGTCTGCAGAAGCTGGAAAGGAAGGAGCAGCGGCTGCCAGTGATGCTGTTGCAGCAGGTGCAGCAGAGGAATCAGCAGGCAGCTCAGCAGCAGCAGTAGACGATCAAGAAGCAGCAGTAGCCGCAGCAGCAACCGACGAGGTCGAAGTAACCGCACCCAGCGTTGAAACTGCAGAACCACTACAAGAAACGGCAGCAGAGGAATCAGCAGCAGCAGGAGCACAACCAGCAGAAGCAGCAGCAGAAGAAAAAGCAGCAGAAGAAAAAGCAGCAGAAGAAAAAGCAGCAGAAGAAAATGCAACAGAAGAAAAGGCAAAAGATGGAGCCGACGCAGCTGCAGCAGCAGCAGCAGAACAAAAAAAAGAAGCAGAAGGCGCCGACGCAGCAGAAACAGCAGCAGCAGAAGAAAAAGCAGCAGAAGCCGCAGACACTGCAGATGCAGCAGCAGCGGATAAAACGGCAGCAGAGTAGGATTAGCCAATCCCTTGTGGTAGTGCTGCTGCTGCAGTAACTGAAGGGCTGCCGTTGCAGCAACACCAGCTTTATCAACAGCCGCAGTACTAGCAGCAGTAGTAGTAGCAGCAGCAGTAGCACTAGGAGGAGCAGCAGTAGCAGCAGCAACCAGTAATTGTAGTTCAGCAGCAACATGCGCTAAGTCAATGAAAATATAAAACTGCAACAAGTTAACTCTTCCCTCTGACAAATAAAGCTGCGTCTGTTGCTGCTGCAACTGCTGCAATATCTGCTGCAGCTGCAGCAACCGCTGCTGCACTACACTGTGCATTCCATCGTTCCCTGCTGCAGCAGCAGTCGCTGCAGCAGAAGCAGCAAATGCTGCTGCTGCGGTAAATGCAGCAAACCTAAAGGTTCTGTAGCAGCAAAGCTCTGACGTATTCACGACAAGCCGTTTGCTGCTGCTGCTGCTGCTGCATGCTGCTGCTGAACAAACAAAGCCATACAAACACTATGAGCTGCAACAGCAGCATCAAAGACCAGCTGCTGCTGCTGCTGATGCAGCAGCTGCTGTCATGGAGATCAGCACAACTTGATAAACAAAAGGGGCCTGCTTCGTTGGCAGGGTCTGTATCAATAAAACAACCGGTACTGCTGCTGCTCCTTCGGCTGTTGCTGCTGCTGCTTCTGCGGCTGCTGCTGCGTCAGCTAAAAGACGCAAAACCAGGCAAACGGTCAGCGCAAATGGCACTCCGAGCAGCAGCTTCAGCAGGGATCTCCTCATACTCAGAACCCCGCTTCTGCTGTTGCTGCTGCTGCTGCTGTGGCACTGAATAAGGGGCCTGAAGCTGCTGCTGCAGCCCCTGGTGCATCGGCTGATGCGGGTGCTGCTGCTGCTGCCTTCGGTCATTCTTATACTGCTCTCGATCTGAGCTCAATACCACGTGCTGCTGCAGCTGCTGCTGCAGCTGCTGTTGCTGCACTTGCTCCTCAGCAGCAACAGCCAACTCCTGCTGCAGCTCTGGCACCTCGTCACCTCTTTGCCGCTGCTGCTGCTGCTGTTGCTGTAGCTGTTGGCTTTCATGTTGCTGCTCCAGCTGTGCTTCCTGGCTAGCTTGTTCACAATCCTGCTGCTGCTGCTGCTGCTGCCAGTGATGTGCGTGGCTGTAGATATGGCAAAACTCTACGCCAAGGTCAACGTTACGAACAAACTGCTCCATATACACCCTATACGCCTCTTGCTGCTGCTGCTGCTGCGTTTGCTTCTGCTTCTGTTGCTGCTCCTGCCCTCCTACCTGCTGCTGCTGCTGCGGCTGCTGCATCCTGGACCCACTGGCGGTTGCTGCAGCACCAGCGCCCTCGCCTCTGTTGCTGCCGACGGCTGGAGCTTCCTTTGCTATGAACTCTGCTGCTGCTGCTGTTGGTGATTCTGCTTCCACTGCTGAGGCTGCCGTTGTTGCTAGTCCTGCTGCTGCTTTGGCTGCTGCAACTGCTGCTGTGGCTGCTGCTGCTGCTGGCCCAGCAGCACCCGCAATCTGCGAATGCGGGGAAACAGGATAGCCCTTTGCTGCTACTGCTGCTGCTGCTGCGGCGGCGGCAGCGGCAGCAGCAGCACCTGCTCTCTTGTATAGGGTTTCCTCGCAGCGCATGTACTCCAGCACCACCCACCTGCACCAGAAGCAACAACACCAAGAGGAGCACTCAGATATAAGGAAAAGAAAAATACTCAGTGTGCGCAGCACAGAAAACCAGAAACGACAGCTGCAGCAGCAACAGCACACGCAACAGCGGAGACAGCACCTGAATGCATCTGCTCTGCCTAGATCGAAGAGTTCTTCCATAGCTTTTTGTGGTGCTGGTTCTAAAGCCATCTGCAGCAGCTCTTGGGTGCTACTCTTTAACTGCAGCAAACTAGCACAGCCGCAGGAGCAGCCGCTGCTGCTGCCGTCGTTGTTGTTGCTGCTGCTGTTGCTGCATACACCAGGAAGACATGAGCTGCCAGCTACAGCAACATGACCCGAGAAGGAGCGGTTGCTGCTGCTTGGATTGCAGTAATAATAAGTTAGTTGTTGCGGCGGACACACTAAACCCAAGGGGCAGCAGCGGGGGCAGGAGGCAGCAGCAGCGGCAGCAGCAGCAGTTGCTGCTGCAGCTTGCTGTTGTTGCCTCTGGTGATGCGCTGCAGTGGCCGAAGGCCGCAGCAAGAGCCACGAACTTGCACCCCGGCTGCTGCCGCTGCTGTTGCTGCTGCCACTGCTGCCGGCAGTAGCAACTGTTGCTTGTGTTTTAAGCTGCTGCTGAGCATCTGTAGAAGGCGCGGCGGCGGCGGCAGCAGCAGCCGCCGCCGCCGCAGCAACCGCTGTGCATGTACAAGGCGTTTCCTCGGGGGTTCTCTCGTCGGCAGCGACAGCATCATCTTCACCTTCCTTTGCAGCACGACGAGCAGCAGCAGCAGCAGCAGCCGCAGCAGCACGTACTCTTAATCTATGTTTAGCCCACAAGAAAGAAAGTATTGCTGCATCTTGCTGTTGCAGATCAGGGTTAATGCAGCAACCAGGTCTAGCAGACACCCGAACAGTAGCAGCAGAAAAAGGAACCACCTGCAGCATATAACATACTACACACAACTCTTACAACCTGCAGCAGAAGCCACCACCTACAGTTGCAGCACCAGTACCAGAACCAGTACCAGCACCACCAACAGCAGAAGCAGCAGGAAACTGATTACCTTAACATCCCTGATAGCTCCTGTATCAGGGCAGCCGAAATGTTTATGTTTGGTGGCGAAGAATCCATCGACTGCCTGTCGACCGCGACAAGTGATTGTTGGCCAAGGAGATAAATAGAAAGGAATATTACAACTAGCAAGAAGACACTCCATTAAATCATTTAAGGAGGTAAAATAAGATACAAATTGACCCTCTAAATAAGGAAACACCTGAATACAATAAACACAATATACTCGTTTGCTTATTCTTTATTTAATTCCCTTCTATTTAATATACTCTTATCTATATACTGTATAATAAATTTAGTTATCTATCTATTTATTCTTTATATATTTACTTACTGTGGTGTATGTGATTGTAACTGGTGCTGGTCTATCGCGAAGGATTTCTGCTGCTGTAGCTGGCAGCACAGATCGCAGCTCCCGCTTCAATACAGAAGCTAAACGGTGAGCAGTCCCTGCAGCAGCAGCAGCAACAGCAGCAGATAGAAGAGCAGCAGTAGGAGGAGGTGCAGCAAATGGAGGAGCGCATGAAAACACTACTGTACAGACAGACAGAGGAAGTGCTGCTGCTTCTGCTACGGCAAACAAACGCGAAGGAAGTCGCGGCCCAAGAAGCAGCAACAGCAGCAGCCGCAGCCGGAGCAGCAGCGGCAGTAGGGGTACCTGCAGCTCGCAGGTCTGCAGCCATTCTCGCTAAGGAAGCAATGGCAAAGGAGAAGCGAAGACGAAGACCTCCTAATACTGCGGCTAACGCACCAGCAGAAGCCCCTGCATCAGAAGCAGCAGCAACAGCAGCAGCAGCAGCAGAACAGGTGGTAACAACAGGAACATATGGCAGGACAGAGCAGCAGCAACACAGACGCCAGCAACAGCAGCAACAATAGCAACAAATTTTCGTGCAGCGAGACAGCCGTCAGAAAAAGCAGCAGCAACAACAGCAGCAACGATAGCAACTACTACTACAGCAGCAACAGCAACAGCAGCAACGGCAGCAGCAGCAGGAGCAGCAGACCTGCAAGAGGAGTATATTGATGTACAACATTAATTTCTGCTAGATAACTTAAAACACCAAAATGGTAAGGAGCTAATAAACCAGCAGGAGAGAAAGAAAAACCTAACGGATAACGATATAATCCTGCTGCTGCTGCTGCTGCTGCTGCTGCTGATCCTGGTTCTGTTGCTTCTACTGTTGATGATGATGATGCTGTTGCTGCTGTTGGTGCTGCTGTTGCTTCTGAGGCTGAAGATCCACCGATAGCAGAAAACCCTGCATTGAACGGACAAACACAGACAAGGCAAGTAGAGTCTGCAGCTGCTACTGCTGCTGCTGCTACTGTTGCTGCTGCTACTGCTGCTGCTGCTACTGCTGCTGCTGCTGGTATCGCTAATCCTGTCGCTGGAGTTGTCTTAGAAATGTGCTACACTCCTCACCTGCTACTGACGTCTGCTGCAGCTGGTACTCTTCGCTGCTTCCTGCTGCTGCTGCTGTTGCTGCTGTTGCTGCAGCAGCAGCACCAGGACCTTCCTGACCCGGGGTAAATATACTGGAGAACGTTCTTTGGATATCGGTCCACCAAGTCACAACAGCTTCCCCATGCTGCTGCTGCTGCTGTTGTTGATGCTGCTGCTCTATAGTCCCCGTGCGGTGCTTGTGTCTTACTGCACCGACAGCAGCAGCCGCATGCGGTACCCAAGACTGTGCTGTCCTATGAAAGGTCGATCCTCTTATGTAGCTGCTGCTCCTGCTGCTGTTGCTGCTGCTGCTGCTGCTATGTTCCTGCTGCTGCTGCTGCTGTGGGACGGGCTTCGCAGCTAGAAAGTCAAAGTGCATTTCGTCAACGCTTAACCTCTCCGTTTCCATTCGCACCATAGCAGGGGGAGGGGAAGGCTCCCGCATCTGTTGTTGTTGCTGCTGCTGATGCTCCTGCTGCTGTCGTTGCTGCTGCTGTTGGTGCTGCTGCTGCGGAGAGCAACGGCGCAGCTGCTGTAGGGAGGTAAAGACCCTGCGCATGCAGTGCTGGTGCAGCAGGTTTTTCCTCAGCAGCTTCTGTTGCTGCTTCCTGCTGCGTAGCCGCAGCACTGCTGCTGCGTCTCCTTTCTTTTGCTGCCGCTGCTGCTCATATAATACTAATCCCTGCAGCGGCAAAGAAGCCTGGTGCTTTTCCTGCAGCTGCTGCAGCAGCTTCAGCAGCGGCAAATCATGTTCTTCTCCCTCTGTCGCTGCGCTGCTGCAAGTCGCTAAGGATGTCTTGCTGCCGCTCCTGCTGAGACCTACAGGAGTGTGCGCGACGCTGCTGCTGTTGCTATTGCTGCTGCAGTGCGGCTGCTGCTGCTGCTGCTGCGGGGTATCCAGGACCTCGATACTGCCGCTGCTGCTGCTAGGAAGGCCCTCACTAACATAGCATAATACATTAGGGGCCTCACTGCCGTGGGGCCCCTCCTCTACTAGTGCTGCAGTTGCAGCTGCCACCTGCAGCACTTGCTGCTGCTGCTGACACCCCGGGCAGATGCGGCGAGGTGCTGCTGCTGCTACTGCTGCTGCATGTGTTGCAGCTGCATGTGCTGCTGCTACTACGGATGCACCTCCGGGGGAATCTATTGCTGCTGCTGCTGCTGCTGCGCATAATGCTTCTAGCTCTTCTTCTTCTTGCTGCTGCCTAGCTAGTTGTTGCAGTGCCTCTTGCTCCCGCTGCAAGAGCTCCTGCTGCGCTGCTGTTGTTCCTCCTCCTCCTGCTCCTGCAGACTCCGGCTGCTGCTGCTGCTGCTGCTGCTGCAGCGCAGCAGCCCAGCGACTACCCGCAAAGAAGGCATAAAACGCTGCTCTTCCGGTGCCTTCTCCTAATCCTAGCAGCTGCTGCACAGCTAAGGAAGAAGCAGCTGATCCGCCTTCTGCTGCTGCTGCTGCTGCTGCTGCTAACCCCTGCTGCTCTATTAACCGCTCCCTGCATGCAGGGTTTAACGCCCCTACATCAGCAGGAGCCAACGGACCCGATGCAACAGAACCCATGGCGAGAGCTGCTGCGGTTGCTGCTGTTTTTACCGCTTTACTGCTGCGAAAAGAGGCGGCGGTTCTGCTGTTGACGTCGCTTGCTAGATGACAGCGTGAAGCAGCAGCAGCAGCAGAAGCTGCTGCTGCTGCTGCTGTGTACCTATCAACGCTCGAAGTTGCTAGCTGCTTCGCGTAGCGCACCAGCAATGACTGCTGCTGCTCCAGCTGCTGCTGCTGCAGTGGTGTTGCATCAACAGAAAAGTTGCTCCTGCTGCAGGTGTGTATACACCTCAGCGTTTATAGGACCCGGTACAGCAGCAACAGCCGATTCAACTAAAAGTACATGCAGCAACAGCTTCTGTAGCCGCCGCAGCAGCTGCAGCAGCAGCAGCTGCTGCTGTCTTCCTCAGGCTGCTGCAGGGATACAGCAGCAATACATAAGAGGAGAAGATAAAGAAAACAATGGGGAGGATTGACTCCCTATAGCTCAAAGATGCAGCTGCTGCTGCTGTATAAAGGAGAGCAGCTACGTCAATAAGGCAGCAGGAGCAGCAGCAGCAACAGCAGAGCAGTAGTAGCCTGAGAACGCAGTGGGGCTGTTGCTGCTGCTGCTGCTAATGTTATTGTTGTTGCTGCTGCTGTTGTGCCAGTTGATTATTTCGCGAGATTTATTGTTGTTGCTCGACCTGTTTTTGCTTTTACAACATCCGTGCTTCTTCTGCTGCTGGTGCTACTGACTCTTGATGCCCGTGCTGCTGCTGCTGTTGCTGTTGTTGCTCCTGCTCACGTCGGTGTACGTGCACATGGATTTTTCATGCTTTTTCCAGTTTGTGTAATTTGTATCATTCCCTTGCTTCTGTGGTGTAGCAGCGACAGCAGCAGCGGCTGCTTCTGCTGTTGCTGCGGCATGCGTGCAATCAGGGCCGGTGCTGCTGCTGCTGCTCCTCCTCCTGCTCTTGTTGTGCGGCGAGGCAGCATCTCCGCTGATGTCCTCATTATTCTTTGGGTCCTTATTGCTCAATGATGTAACTTTTGGGTCCTGAAGGCAAATTGAGCTGCAGCAGCAGCAGCAGCAGCAGCATTTCGGTGCTGTTGCTGTGGCCTCTGGAGGTTATCCACACAACATCATGTTGTTATCCTTGCTCTGATGAAGCTTGAGGACCCTTAGATGCAGCAGCAGGAAGACTGCCACCAGAAGCGGCAGCGGGAAGATTGCTAGCAGCAGCACCGCCCGGTGTCTCATGGGCTGTTGCATGCGCCGTAGGAGCGCTCCGCTTCATGAGCTGCTGCAGAGTTGCAGCGTTTACGTATTTGTTGTCTATTTAATTGTGGGGTTTCGTTGGTGCTGTGTTCTTCAGCTCTAGCTAGTACACAGAGGCTGCGGTTGTGCTCATGCTGCTGTCGTAATACTAATGGGCCTGCAGTCTCCGCAGTGCAGCGTCTGCAGTGCTGCAGTCCTTCACATGTAGTGTGTAGCCTCTGTGGAGTAGCTAGAGCTGAGGGGCAACCGTATAGAATTCTTGTTTCCCTTCCTCTTACTGTTGGGATGGGGTACAGAGTTGGATAGAGGCTTCTTCCTTACTCTAAAACAAGGAAGGATTGGATGCATTGTACATTTGTATTTGTAGAATTGCGGCAGTTATACAGTATGGTATCAACTGCCTTACGACCATATATATAATTGATGTATCGGAACTGCTTACTGCCCTTACATACAAAAATTTGGCGACAACATAATCCCTCTGTATGGAGAGAGAGCTGTCCACAAGGACAGAGGCTACTCACATCAGAGAAGGCAACCCAGATTTACGGATGAGCAGATGTTCCTGTGAATTGTGGGTGAGGTGTGTATGGTTGAGTGTTGTTTGGAGAGTTGAACGTTTGCCGTCGTTCATACTGCGTCTAATGCACCGGATCCCATCTGAACTCCGAAGTTAAGCGGCGCAAGGCCCGGTTAGTACTGCG